GTGGCAACCCTGGCCTCCAGCCCTAGGTCCCAGACATGCTTTGGCCTCTGTGTGTAAGGAGTCAGCTGTGAAGTCTGCCTTTGTACTGCTGTGTGTGCACGTGTGCGTGTGCGTGTGTGTGTGTGTGTGTGTGTACCGTGCATGGGAGATGGGACAGACAAAGAGGAGCTGGGTCTTAGAGGACGGGCAATATTTTAAAAGCAAACTCACATGGCCATTTATAGTTTTTTAAAATGTAGCAAAACATGCAAAAGGAAATCGGTCCCAAAACATAAAAGTAAGATTCTTACTAAACCCATTTCGGTGACGATCAAAGCAGATTTCACCCGAACATGGGGAACCTCCAGTGCGGCCTGCATAGCCCTCCATGCACCCTCGTGTGTCAGTGTGACATGGAGCTGTTTTAATTTATCGTTGCAACTGAGTTGAAATCAATTTTGCTAAAAATTAGTTCACTCCTTTCTGACTTCACGTAGGTTTACATCACCCTATGAAATGTTTTTTTTTTCTTTTTCTTTTTCACCCTATTCTTCAAAATTTCTTAGGAAAGGATTACAAGAGTCACTGTTGCCCCAACTTATAAAATTTCCACCTCGCTGCCAACCAGTTAGCACACGCGGGCTGTACGCAAGCGGTTACACTAGGTATTTTGAAACCTGTTATGCTATTAACTCACAATTAGCTTCTCTATGCTAAGATTTCTTGTTGGCAAAAATGGAGATGATAAAATCTCGAGTCTCTCTATGCAGACGTTTATCAAGCTTGGCCTCGTGGTGCACCATCTTCCCTGGGTGACGAGATCGCTCTATTTAAGGCTCCTTTGATCTGTTTAACATTTTCATTTCTACATTTTGCTTTGAACCTCTCTTGGAAGAACCTCAACATCTTTATGTAAGAGTAACAGACTCGAACCACCTGAAATAACACAGTGGGGTTTTGGAGGGTATCTGTTTGTTCTGGAATGCCGTGAAAGAAGGCAGCTTAGGCGGCAGGTCTGAACTTCAAAGCCGCTGACCTGACCCGAGCAGCCGAGCCGCTCACTGGTACGGAGCAAACAGGAACGCAACGGGCGGCCAGGTGGGCACCGGGAAGCAGCAGGGCAGAGGAAGCGGGCGGGGAGACGGTGCCGCCTCTTCATGACTCGAAGCCCGCTACTCCCAGGGGACTCCCCTCCCTAAAACATGACTTTGTCTCCTCTTACGGGGCTTAGACTCTCCTATAAACAACGAGCAAAACACAAGATGGAACAGAAAGCAGGCAGATGGGTCTTTCGTAAAAGAGGAGACCAAGACGGGAGGGTAGGAGGATGAGCAGAGCGGAGGTTTCTCCTTGGACCGTGCAACGGGGCCACAAGGATGCAGTGACCGTGTGTGGCGCCCGCACTAGCAAAGAAAAGGATTCCAAAGCAGGTCCTAAAGTGCAGAGGACTGAGCAGGGCAGTCTGATGCGTCAGGCAGAGCTGCGTTACGCGCGTGCTGACTCCCCGTGACGGGTGTAAGGCTGACGTGCTGCAGAGGTGGGCTAAGAGGAGTCAAAGCCCGAGCACAGTCAGAGCCCACACTCAGGAGGCGTGGTCTCGTGTCGAGGGGATCAGAGCGCCTGGGAGGGAAGGGAAGGGAAGAAGGTGACGGACGCGGCCTCCCCGGGAGCCCGGCGTGCGTGGGGACAGCGCGGCAGAGCCTATGAATTCGTGCGACAGGAAATTAAACCAGAAATTAAACGAACTTCTAGCAATCTTAAAACATTTTCTAAAGTCTTGTCAAGATTGGCAGAACCCTAAGATGAATGTAAACATGACGTATGGAGGACACACGTTAGTAGGAGTGACAATAATAATAATAATAATAATAGCAAGTAATAACAGCAACCACCTGGCAGGACTGTGCGCTCCCAGAGAACCGTGCACCCAGTCTGCCCTCCGGCGCCACCGCTCTTTCCTGCCCGTGTGTGTTCAGCTTCCCACCCACACCCTCTGTCCCTCCAGGAGGCCCCGCCCGGTCCCCATCCTGAACTTCTCCGCCCAGGCTCCCACCACTGTGGCAGG